GGAAATGGCTGTTATCTTAGCTCTGCTGCTCTCCTTCCTCTCCTTTTCCTCTCTCCAGGTCCTCCTGTCTGTCTCTCCTCTCATCTCCTGCATCTCATTTGCCACTGGGTGTCTCAGAAGTGAGCTCTTCTTGGGTTCTGGTTTTCCAGTCTGCATAATTATTTCAGTATTGCAGCGTTTGTTCCTGAACCCATGACCTTTGAGCATTAAATGAAACCAAAACTGACAAAGTAGTAATAAAAATGTGTTGGCGTAGCCAAATTAGCTAAACTTAGCATTAGCGCAGACTGGCTACAGTGAGTCTGCTGGGCTGGATTGGCTGTGTTCCTGCTCCTTGCCTGTACCCCTGCCTCGTACGATTGTTGTTTTTCAGTTTGGGGTTGCCAGGGCTTCTCGTTCACTGCGATAAAAGCGTCGGTGATGTGTTTAGACAGCCCGCAGCCTTTGTGTGCTCTCCCGTCTTCTTCATCAAAGAAGTGGCTTGTGCTATAACCTCAGTCAGTGTTGGGCCTTCGCCAAAAGTGTGCTTTTTACACATCAGCTTCACACCTCTCTGACCCCCTCTATCAGTTCTGTGACACATTCGACGGCAGTAAAAAATAGCTCCGATTTACATATACCTGGAAACCAGCAGATAAGCTTTGCATTTCCTTTTATTCCAAGCAAAAACGAACTTGACTGTAATTATGACAGCGGTAAACCGCCTTGTTGCTGCTCACTGGCTGTGTGGATGCTCACTGGCTGTGTGGATGCTCACTGGCTGTGTGGATGCTCACTGGCTCACTGGATAGGTTGTGCCACCAGCTACAGGCTGAAATGTGGAATTTGCTCCTGCTTGGATTCGTTAATGATGCTGCTGAGGGCGTCCAGCTGGGAGCCGCGCAGCGTGGATGTATCACAGACGTGTTCCAAGTTCGCTTCCGCAGCGCGTGTCTTACCCGTTTGTCACATGTACCGGCCTGTCAAGTTGTGGAATACAAAATGGACGCATGACTGGAAGACTGTGTGCCAAAATACATGGAAAGGTAGCCAAAAAAGGTAACATTGAATGGGATTCATGACTGAATTAAGTGGAAAAATAAAAATCAGCAGGTTCTATAACGCAATGAAACATACGAGAATAAAAACACTTACGATTAAAACTCCCAGGCACAGCTGTGAGTGGGTGGTTCTCCATGCCAAAAACACAAAGACCGTACTTGTGGTCTTGGCAAGACCGGTCTCGCTAACTTGCCTCCCAAGAACGAACTTGGGGTGCAATGAATCATGGGATCGGTCTCGTTCAGTGAAGATGCAACTGATGTATCCTTGATATACAGTATGGGGCGGGGCATGAATGACATCCGGGGATTTTTACCATCCTCTGTACTTCTTGAGTATTCGAACTGGTCTTTGGCAATGGAAGACAATGTGAAACAGGTACACAAGAACAGTCAAGTATGCATACTGAGAAATAGGCAGTCTCCCAATGGAAGACAATGTGAAACAGGTACACAAGAACAGTCAAGTATGCATACTGAGAAATAGGCAGTCTCCCAATGGAAGACGATATGAAACAGGTACACGAGAACAGTCAAGTATGCATACTGAGAAATAGGCAGTCTCCAGGCTCTCACTTTGGAAGTACACCCTGCATTGCTCTGATACTTAGCAATTCCTTGAATTCTCTCTGACCTGAGCCCATGTGAAGCCTAACCAGGCAGTGCATCCATGATTTGCTAAAGGTCATTTGCCTGGGCTATTGTAAACAATTCCAGGAAGCAGTGCTCTGAACTGTAGTGTAATTGAAGATGCTAACCTACATGCATCCATATATGCAACCTGAAAGTTAGGGTCAGGGTGAGCTCGAGGTGTATCCCATAATGCACTGGGCAGGAGTTAAGCAGTTACTAACCTTTAGTATACCGGAAACCACCACAAGGCCTCACAGGCTCTCTCTCCTTCTCTTCCCCCTTCATGCACTATGTCACATAATCCTTTGTGTTGCTATAACACAGCATCCAGTCTGGATTGAAGTGCTTAAAGAATTTAGGATCTGATTTGTAATTAAGGCCAAAGTAGGGTGGCACAGTCATGCTGCACTTTAATATGAAGCTTTCCAGCGGGGGAAAAAACAACTGAACCAAGTAGATGCTGCTTTTGAAGGACGGAGGTATTAAATGATGCACGATGACACACCGCGAATGATTTTACTGTTGTGATAAAATGAATTGTAGAGTAATAAAAATGTGATGGTTTAAACCATATAGCAAATGGGGAGGGGGGGTTAGAATCACCAACCACCTAGTGAAACGTAATCAGTTCAGCAAGGAAATTGTGATTTTCCCTCTCAGTCCAGTTTTTCTCTCCTGATATGTTTGATATTGTTCCTCTGTGGGAAGCTCTTTGCGAATGAGTGCCGTAAACCCCGTTCCCCATGATGCATGCATTGCAGACATGGCAGCTGTGCTGAGGCATGATGGGAGATGGAATGTACATATTGGTCCCCATTGGCCACTTTAGGGGCTGTTTATAATGACGCTACAGCTCTGGGTTGGATCGCACATCTTCCTTTGGTTTAGCATTTGAGCTGAGCTTTGCTTTATGTGAAAATATCTTAGAATATGGTTAATGACCAGGAAGTAGCTTGCATATCTGTACGACTTGTGGTTCATTATAACCAGTGTCAGCTTGTGTAGCTCAGTGGGTTTTTTTAGCTCTGAGGGTTGCGGTGTCAGGCACTATTGCAAAGTCGTCGAGATTAACACGGCTAGTCCCTTGTTTTTACAGTGAAATGTGGGCGAGAGCTTTGAAAGTGACCTGAAGGCCCTAGTAGATGCATTGAAAATGAATAATTGAGGAACGCCTTCCAGGCGGAGTGAGGTTATACTGTTAGGTAATAACATTGTTTATGTGTTGAGGTGGAAGGCTTCACGCTGCTGTCTGGTAATGTCTTCGGGGTGTGATCTCAGAGATGAGACTGCTCCTAATCACACAGCTAGTCAGGAGTGTGGCGGGGTGTGTATGTATGCGTCCAAAGTGTCTCGGGGTCAAATCCTAGAAAAGACCTTTACTTACTGTAAAAACATATGCATGAAAAGGAGACTATATGCATTAGTTGCATTGGACAATAATTTGTGCCGATCAACTGAAAGAAGTTAAATACTGATAATGTAGAGAAAATATTACAGGTATGCCGTTTCTACAATATCCTACAATATTCTACAATAGCTAAATATTCCTCGTTGCTCTTTAATCGTGGCTGGGAATTGGTGGTGCGTCACTATATCTGCACAATGTGTGATCACAACTTACAGTGTAACTATGACTGTCAGTCACAGCACCATTTCAGCGGAACTCTAAACACTCTTAATGTTCTCTGGCTAATTTGGTTGACCTCCTTTCTGCCAAAATGTGAGGGTTAGTTGAGCTTATAATCAGGGCGGTTGTGCTTAATTGGCGCTGTTGACGGCGGTGATGGGGATTGGCTGGAAGGGGCAGCCCAGGGAGAGGTCACTGTTCCCAGGGCTTCTCAGCGTATTTGGCCTTGGCTCCCAGAAGCCAGGTTTTGTTTGCTTTGTTCTGTCTGCATAAATCAGACTCATAAATCATCACATGAATGCAGGTTTAATGGGCTGATAGTCCGAAGCTGCACTTCTCTCCTGGAAGGTAGCAGGCAGGTCGGTGGGTGTATGGATGGTGTAAAGCGAAAGAAAGGAATACTTCTGATGGCCCAGCTCCCCCCCCCCCCCCCCCCCCCCCCCGCTTCCCACACCGTGGTGATTCACCATGAAGCTGGGTAGCACACAGCAGTATTTACACAGCGGCCTCACGGGGGCGGGTCGCTACAACCAGCACATGAAGGAGACTCATTCACCGCTTTCGCTGGCGGGGGTGGGGGGGCAGGGGCTAAAACTTCTGACCGAAAGGCAGGGTTAAGCCCCCAGCCAATGAACCCCAGCAAAGGCTAAAGGCGAAGGGTTCGTCTAAAGGTGGTTGGAGTTTCCCTGAATTAATTAGGTGCTGGAAGGAGGCAGATTTCTCCTTCAACAATTTATTGAACCACATGACTTCCTCCCTACTTCCTGTGTTGCCCTTTTCATTTTATCCAATCGACATTCTCTAATCGCAGCCAGGAAAGCTGATGCGTGAATAGTAGCATTTTCTCAACGGTAATTGAATAGGCAGATAACGTAACTCGGTAGATTCTGCAGTTTCTAATGGAATAGCCTGACACTGCCGTTTCACTGTGTACCAGGTCCTCTGGCCCATTTGAGGAAGGCGGTGAACATTTGTCTCTTCTTCTGTTTGCAGCTTAACAGTGAAAAGATGTACATGGGAGTGCCGGACCTGGGCCAGGATTTCCTGCCAGTCGGTCAGGTGGGTTCCTCTCACTCCAGCATGAAGTCAGTCGGAAGAGGCGCATTGAGGAGAAATGCGGTAGTCGTGAACCACCCTTCATGAGGCGCAGTTATAATACTTTAACAAAGCATTTGAAATGAGGGTCTGCAGAAGAGCGGGTGATTGGTGGATTGGGGGCATCATGACCCCGTTTGGGCTGAGTACAGCATGCAGTTTGATGCTGAGTATAGACAGACTGTCTCTCCCTACTCAACTTGAGTACTCAACTTGGAGCCCGAATCTGTCTGATCCTGCAGAAAAGGTCCACGTGTTATGCCTCAGAGTTATAGTCTGAGCGCAGTTACTCCCCTGAAAGAGTACTGAGACAGGGCATCAGTCGGATTCAGTTCTCGGGTTACATGAATAATGCATCAGCTCACTATGGCGTCACGAAGCCAGAGCAAAGGCCTTAAATCGGCACACTCTCATGATGGGGGGCGAGGGGGGGTGGAGCAGTCGGCCGGCTCCGCAGTCTTCACCGCACCGCGCTGGAAGCCGCACACGTTATCCGTTTTCACGCAGCTGTTGCGATAGTGAAGTTCGCCTGAATGCGCCCAGCTCCTCGATCGCTAAATAATTTATCGTCCTTCTCAGAGTTACAGAGTGACCCGGGTTTGGGTCAGTGATTCTGAATGCGCCGAAGATGTGAAACCGAAAGTCAGGCCTTCTCATGTTTTCCCTTTTTCCACTCGTGCTTTTCAATAGAAAGCAGCGTGACGGACGTGGCTGTGTATTTAATCGTGATGCGACCGGCCCGAACACACAGACACGGATCCTTGTTAAGAATAACCACTGTCACCCAGTCGCATACAGGCAAACGGCACTGTCTGTACTCTTAGTTTAAATCTTCACATATCTGATGACAGCTGAGATGGAACAATCAAAATAAATTTAGGAAAAATCGCATGCTGTTTATAATGCCCCCAAGGTGTCACGTGTCAATTTAATGTGACGAGCGGCTTACAATGGACCATTCTGTGTGCTTTAGAGATGTGACATCTGATACCGTTTAGTCTTTCTGTACCTGAGCCTGAAACGGCCCTATAGCTTAGTGGACTTGCCCGAACGACAAGAGGGATCTCATTTCCCAGAAGGCTGTGTGTGTACATTTCCCTAATGCTTCTTGGGAAAGCTGTCCCATTTGCAGTGGCATATCAGTCGATCCCCCCCGCCCCTTGCTCTTCCACAGTTCCGTGTACCTGAGCTACCCAGCCAAAGCCAGCAGAACATGAAGCAGGCAGGAGGCCCCTGGAAAAGAGAGGCCCCCACTCACCTGGACTCCCCCCGTCTGCCCTGGGTAAGCAAACTGACCGTTACTGTAGGCAGTGATGTAACAGTGGGGTCACCTGCAGAATGGCACAATCGGCAGGTATGACCCACAATGGACATTGGTGTCCCTCTTACTGTCCTGCAACTCCAGCTCTCCTGGTAAAATCATCTTACTTCTGTAGTCATGTTGGGTTGAGCACAGCCCAGGGGGATCCAGATAATCTCCGAGCAGCACCTCAGTCTGACGTCCTTCGCTCTGTCTGGAGAAGGCTGATAGGAACCCTCCATTACCGGATCTCCTGCAGGCTTCAGTCGCTGAGCTTGCGCCTATACAAAGCGATATCTTTGCCATTTCGATATATGTGGAAGCGTAAGTCTAGGTCAGAGGTGGCCAATCTTATCCGCAAAGGGCTGTGTGTATGCAGGCTTTTGGGATAACCTGTAGGTCAGCTGGTCAAACCCAGGTGTGAGGACTCTTCAGCCAATCAGTCCTCTAATTAGGGTGTTGCAGCGAAAACCCGCATACACAGCGGCCCTGCCCTTTGCGGATATGATTGGCCACCCGGGTCTAGCTACTCTGGTCATTTAGATCAAATGATTCCATAAGGTCCAGTTCCCTCCTTACCTGTATAACATAGTAACTGATGCCGATAGGTTGGTAAAGTGCAGTTAGAACTGGTTGGGACAGATCAATATGGTGATTGGTTCTCGTTTGGACCCACAGTTTGCCCAATCCGATACGGATGCTGAACCTGAGGGTGATGTAATGACTCAAGAATGTGACTGTCTGAGTGTGTGGGACAGGGTGTTTAGACTCCGTATGTTGGTGCATCCCTAAAATGTCTCCGTGGCTCAGAACAGACATACATACGAGGGAATTAAGATAAACAGGTAATTGAGTGATGGGTTTATTAACAGGGGGGAGCACAGACTGTACAGGATCTGCACTAAATTACCCCATCAGGCCCATAAACGGCACCTTCCAAGTGATCAGATTCTGCAGGAGCCAAGCTGAAATGGGAAACATTTTATTTTTAATTTAATCACTTTAATTTAGCCATGGACTGTTTAAGTTTAAATGTAGAATTTATTAAACTGACTTTCTATATGTTGCTTAAGGCTCTTAGCTTGTGAATTTAAGTACATTAAAAACATTTGCAATACATAAACACTTGCTTTGATTTGCTGTAATATACTAGAGTACACTGTAAATTCTTTTTCAATACATGCAGTTCTTTCTGTGTGAAATGTGTGTTCGATTCACACACTGAAATGGTCACGATGTTCACTGTCACATCTTGGGTTAGTTCTAGTGATTATTTTACTTTAATATTAAGGCCCTTATCTCGAGCAATGCAACTAGACGTTCCAGTCTGTGCTGGTGTGTGCTATATTAACGATGCAGTGGCAGAGTCTGGGTGCTGCTTATCGCACTGTAAAGGCACAGTGGGGGTGGTGTGTGCTATATTAACGATGCAGTGGCAGAGTCTGGGTGCTGCTTATCGCACTGTAAAGGCACAGTGGGGGTGGTGTGTGCTATATTAACGATGCAGTGGCAGAGTCTGGGTGCTGCTTATCGCACTGTAAAGGCACAGTGGGG